CCAGGTGCAGCCGGGGCGGGCTGTGCAGGCCGAGCCGCGGCGTCACTAAGCAGCGCCCTCCCCCGGCAGCACATGGACGACTACTCCCGGACCAAAGCCATCGCCGACCAGCTGACCCTCACGGCCAACGGCACGCCTCTCCCAGGTCAGTATCGCGGGCCCTGCTCACAGCAAAGGCGCCTCCCCGTGCCGCCCTGCCCCCAACATACGTGTGGTTCTAGCGTTTGGCTGACGCGCTTCTGAGGCCCCTTCCTCCGAAAGGACGCTTCCCCAGGCCTCCTTCCACTCGTCATTCAACGTCATTCAAGGTCATTCAACTTACCGGGGCACCTGCTGTGTCCCCACCCCCGCCAGGGATAGAGCCCAGTCTGTCCGCATGCTGCTCATGGTCAGGTGGGGGAGACCAGGTGGGACGGATCCTGTTTAAGGGCCCGCGTTAGAGAAAAGCGCAGCCGTTCTGAGGACGGAGCGGGCGTGGGCTTTGGAAGGGCTGTGCGAGGTCCCGCCATCGCTCCAGGAACACTGGCTCCTGCCCCCCGGGCGGCCAGCGCCTTTTCAGGCTGCAGGGAAGTGACAGGCCGCAGGCAGGTGGCCGTGTGCACAGTGGCCAGTGGCTACGCAGTTTCATCAGACTGACCGCGTTCAGAGCCCAGCTCCACCACCTCTTGCTGTGTGGCCTTGGCAAGCGTGTACCCTCTCTGTGCAACAGTGTCCTCATCTGTAAAGACAGGTGATGATGGTGGAGTCTACCTCGCAGAACTGGTCTGAGGCTAAAAAATGATAGGCGCTACTGAAGGGCAGAATCGGACAGTCTATTTAGGAAGTGCTCACAGCACGTCAGGCCCTACTGTACATGCCAATTTCATAGGCAGGATTTTTTTTTAATTTCTTTATTGGTTAAGGTATTACAAATGTGTCCTCATCCCCCCAATAGCCCCCATCCTCCCCCGCCCCCGCACTCACACTCTCAGCCCCTGTTGGCCGTGTCTGGCTTACGTGCATGCATACAAGTCCTTTGGTTGATCTCTCGGAGGCAGGATTTTTGATAACTTTTCACAGCATCCCTGAGGCAAGACCCTGACGTTGCTCTTGCTTTCCAAACTCAGAACTGAGTCGATTTACATAAATTCCTTACTATCCAAATTATCCCTATTTGCTTTCCAAAATTCAGAAACTTAAATCAGAAAGCTCAGTTACCACCCAGCTCTCGTGGCTCAGTGGTTGAGCGTCGACCTATGAACCAGGAGGTCACAGTTCGGTTCCCAGTCAGGGCACATGCCCGGTTGAAGGCTTGATCCCTGGTGTGGGGTGTGCAGAAGGCAGCCAGTCAATGATTCTCCATCATCATTGATGTTTCTCTCCCTCCCTCTCCCTTCCTCTCTAAAATAAATAAAGGTATCTTTTTTTTAAAAAAAAGAAAGAAAGAAAACTCTATTACCCTCACTACCTAAACTCAGGGACCAATTGGATTGGGAAAGCAAGGATGCTTGCCTGTCTGTTGTTTAAACCACTCAGTCTATGATATTTGCTATAGCAACCCAAGCTATGACTGATTTTTTAAAAAAAAAAAAAAAAAAAGAAAGAAAACTCTTTTACCCTCACTACCTAAACTCAGGGACCAATCGGATTTGGAAAGCAAGGATGCTTGCAGTTATAAAGCCCTGAAATTTACAGGGGAGGAAACTGAGGCTGAGAGGGTAACTGACTTAGCTTAGGTCACACCGTCTTCGGTGGCAGATACGGGATTTGAACCTTTCCCCGACCGCAGGGGTCTAACACCAGAGTCACCTCCATCCTACACTGTAG